CATTTTGGGGTTACTGTAGGTAATTTTGGGGTTACTGTGGGTCACTGGAGTTACTAGAGGTCTAGTTCCATCTCTGGGGACCATGCTGTGCTTCTTTGATTTCACCCAGTTTGCCCTTGGGGTCTCTTTGGGTCACTTAGTCCAGTGTTGTGTCCAGACCTTGCCCCTGAGCTTGTGTCCCTGTTATGGTTCATCCCAAGGAGCCCCCCGTTCTGCTCTCCATCACTCCTGGGTGCTGTGGTGGCTGTCATGTCAGTCCCAGCTCTCCTGGCGACTTCTGAGTTCCTTTGGCACCATGACCTGCTCATAATGGGCTCCCCAACCCTCCCCTCTCTCCCCCGGCCCCCTCCCTGGCTGTGCCCCCCAACTCTGCCATGGCCCTGCTCTCTGTGCACCAGCACCTCCTGGCTCGTCTGCACAGGAGCTCCTCTCTCTTCCAGTTTTAGCAGGAGAAGATGTAGGTACTGAGCACTTGGAGCAGAACAAAACTCTCCAGCTCAGTCTCTTCTGGCTCCTGAATCTCTGTGTCCCTCAGTCCCTGCCCACCTTTACCTTCACCTGTAGCACCTGAAGATTTGGGAGTATATTTAAAACACACCAACACAGTTTGAAACTTTAAACCAGGCTTTACTGGACTGACAGTCATCAACAGCACACATCACCCCCCAGGGTTAGGCTTTAATCATCATCCATACACAGGTAAATGATGAGTCTTTAATAAATTTGGCCTAAATTAGCCACGAGTCTCAAACAGGGGAGTGCTGGTACGAGGGGGGCAGTGAATGTGGTGTGGGGTTGGGGTTTGGGCACCTTTGGAGGTGGGGGGGAAGAGCTTCTTCACTTTTTTTGGTGTTGAAAGCCAGAGCTGAAGTAGGATTTCTTCTTCCTTAGTATTTATTGGTATTCTCTTCTTTTCCTTCTGCCTGTGAAAGGACAGGGGACAACTCACCTCCTCTTCACTGAGTTGTTTTGTTTTGTGGGGTTTTCCCAGCATATTCCCTCTTACCCTGTGGGGTTACTTTGGCTTCACCAGTTGTCTTCTCTGCCTACTATACATGTGGTTTTTTTTCTCTCCTTCACACTTTATTTCCACTTGACCCCTGTATTTCACACCTGCAGTTGTCTTCCTCCTTGTGCTACTTACTCCATGTATGTTTTTTCCTCAACTACTTCATAATATGCTAATTGCTGGCTATGCTATTGGATGCTACAGATAATAGATATATATTATACCAGGCTGTAAAATACTTACCTACAGCCACTGCTCACATTCCCTTAGTGTTTGTGATGAGTCTTGGGTCTTGATTAACTTGTGTTTCCTTTTTGTGTGCAAGAGGCCACCACTTTGAAGACTCCAACAGAGATGTTAAACAGGGCCAGGGAGCCAAAGAATCATAGTTTGAGTTGGAGGGGACCTTTTAAAGGTCATCTACTCCAACGCCCCTGCAATGAGCAGAGACAATCCTTCAAGGACCATGTGTTTACCTGAGGGAAAATGTCAGGAAAATCTCATCCTGGGGAGGTTGCCAAGACTTAGTCCAGACACATATACCCTCAGGCATGAGTCACTGCACAGGCTTCCCCCCTTGCCAGTCCCCAAGACTTCCTTATGTCCTCAGACATGAATCATTGGCCAGACTCTCCCTCACTAATTGCTGTTGTGGACCATGAGAAGTGGAGAGCAGCTGTTGCCTTTTCCTTGAGCCCCCTTGGAAAGAGGGGCTCCCGCAGCACCGTGGGTGTGGGCACGTTCCCTTCCCGTTTGTCACGAGTCCTGGAAATGTAAAGCAGTGAGAGATAAGTTCTAAATTCTTCGTCTCCATGTGTCTCAGTCTCACCTGGAGAAAGGTGGATGTTGCCTGAAACTGGGAGGATGGAAATGGAAGGCATGGGGATTCTTTCCTGGGACAGAAAGGAGGCAGGAAAAGAAAGGAAAAGCTATTTTTTGGTACATGTCAAGGGACTGCTCAGCTCTGAAAGCATTTGGGCCATTCCTATGGCTCCCACTGCAGTTGAGAGTGCCTCCAACACAGGCTAAGAAACCTCACTCATCATTAGACCCACTGATTCCTTCTTACCTTTGTATTCAAGGTCTTACGAGAGAGACAAAATCCCAGTCTTGCCATCTTTACTCGAGTCAGGGTCTCAAAGTCTAAGGTTGCCTTCTGGAGAAGGAAGGAAATGGGGAGGAAAGAGGACACAAAATAAATCAAGAAGAACAAAATAAAACCAAGCAAGAATAAATATCTGCAATAATAAATAAGCTGAGCAGGGGCAGCCAGAATCCAGGTACACTCACACCTCAGTGCCCAGGGTTTTAGCAAAGCAGAGCCAAAATACTTGCTGGGAAGCTCAGCTGAAATCCTGAGTTCTCTCCCTGTCCTGGTGGGAGCCATCCTCTTCCCATTTAATGTGGCAGTTCACAGGACACACGGGAGGCACATGATGAAATGAAACATTGCCTAAATTTCATGTTCATCTCTAATTACTACTTTATTTTTGTCCCTTTATGCTTGTCTCTCCTGTAGAGTATCTTTACAATCTTTACAAGGCCAAGCAGTCTGACACCAGGATAAATTCTTTCTCAGCAAAGAATACAGTTAAAAGAAAATATCTGTGGGTTTTTTTCTCTAGTTATGACCCAGTATTTCAGTTTATTTCCTCTCTGACTTATCTATTTGGGAACTCTCCAACTCAACCAGGATGTGATTGCTTTAGGATAGATTATGAGATTTCTAAAAAGCATCATTAAATCAAAGCCAATAACCAGTGCAGAACTGTGAACTAGAAAACAGTAAAGAGAATTAGTCACACATTAAAAATCCACATCTATAGATAAAGGTATGGATAAACTGTTAGAGAAAGGTAGAGATTTAGCAGGATTTGAGCAGGTGTAAATACATAAAAGGTTAAGTCTAAGCAGCATTTATTATTAAGTCTGCATAGATTTTAATTATTTTTATAGACTTACATGATATGCTGCCATTAGTTTGAAGGTGACAAAAAGACAGAAGAGGGAGCAGCAACAGATCTGAGGGAAAACCAAGCTCAAAAGCCCTTTTCCATTCTGCCTGCAAGGCTCTACTTGCCTCTAACAAATAGCTGGAGGTTCCACCTTTTATATCCCAGGGTCTATTCAGCAAGGAAATGTCTGATTATGGCAGAGCAGTTCTACACCTCTTGTATTATCATGTGCTCTTACAATCAATTTTTTTTGAGCATGGGCATGACACAACTTCTTGCTCATCACTCAATCTTCCCATCATTTTCTTTACCTTCTGGCAGGGCTTGGATTTAACATCTTGGGCTCTCCTTTGCCTCTTCCTGAAATAAGATAAATGTTCACAAAGAAATCAGTAGATAAAAAGACAAGGAGTGACACCATCCTGCAGAATTTAGTGTAACTGGATATAATTTCATAGATCACAGAATTATTTCGTTTGGAAGAGGCTACGGGAGATCTGGGGAGGGACTTCTGACAAGAGCACGGAGGGGTAAGACAAAGAGGAATGGATTTAAACTGAAAGAAGGTGTATTTAGATTGTATATTGGAGAGAAATTGTTCCCTGTGAGGGTGGGGAGGCCCTGGCACAGGTTGCCCAGAGAAGCTGTGGCTGCCCCATCCCTGGAAGTGTCCAAGGCCAGGTTGGATGTGGCTTGGAGCAATGTGGGCTAGTGGAAGGTGTCCCTGCCCATGGCAGGGGGTGGAATGAGATGGGCTTTAAGGTCCCTTCCAATCCAGACCTTCCATTGATTCTATGATGAACACATTCCAAGTGGCTGACTGCAGACTTGAGAGCATATTCATAGTTGGATAAAAATCCCATTTACTTCACACTTTGTCTATGCCCTGAGCTTTGATACTGAGACAGCTCAGCACTTGTTTCTCTATTTCTTCCCTTTCAGAATTCCAGTACTGGGGCTCAGACCCGCAACTTCCCAAAATACCTCTCCCCAGGCATAGGGAGTCCAGGCAGACCTGTGTCTGCTCCACTTCCTTCACTCTGCTCGGCTGTCTCATCTCATCCTGACCGGCCCTTTGTGTGCCCTTCAGCCCAAATCTTTCCTAAATAACAGCCCTCATCCAAGAACATGCAGCAAACCTCTGCTCCAGCCATGAACCCGCATGACCAGCCTCCTCCCTGCCTGGCCTGCCAAGAAACGCCCAGTGATGCCACCCCAAAATGCACCTGCCTACCTGAGACTGCACATCTGCACAGTGCCATCTCCTGGGCCAGGGATCCTTCATGGCTGGGCACAAGTTGTGCCACTCCTGAGCACCGAGGTCTCTGCTCCTGGTGGCTCTCACGTGGCTTTTTGCACCAGGACTCTCCAAGGGGGGCAACTTCTGAGCATGGTGGGGTGGACTGGCACCTGCCCAGGGCATCCTCCTCCTCAAACAAGGACTGTGCCTCCCCTACACGTTCCTCCAGCTCTCTGCCTGCCTCCTCAACTCCTCCTCAACACCAACAACGCTCTCCCAACGACCAACAAACCCCCCACCCCTCAAAGGGGGAGCGCAGCTGAGGGGGTGGGATGTGAAGGGGACGGGGAACTGCGGGGGCAGTGGGGAGGTGGGTTTTCCTGCACGTTCTCACGCTGTCTCACCACTGACCTCACCGCTGTCCTTTGTCTGTCTCCTCTCCCCCGCGCAGGGCCCGGAGCGGTGCACGACGGCGGCAACGCGGCGTCCCGGCTGGCCGCCGGCCTCTGCCTCTGGGCCACCCTCCTCGCTCGCCTCCTCCTCCTCGACTTTTGATAAGGGAGCGGAGGGTCCCGGGAGGCCCCGCGCGCCTCTCCCCCGCCGCGGGCCCTGCCCGCCGCGCCGCCCGGGGACTCCTCTCCGCGGGACGGGCGATGCGCCGGAGGACGGGCGGCGGTGCCGAGCGTCCGAGGATGGCCCCGTCTCCCACGTGCCGGGATCGTTCTCGCCGCCAGTTAACGCTGTACAGACCCCACCACGTGCCACCAGACTGTCACCCGCCACCGCCGCCCCGGGGACGTGGCCCGGCACGGACGGTGCTCCTCGTCTCCAGCGCGGGGGGCGCGGAGCCGCCGGGGCGGGTGCCGCCCAGAGCCTTCACCGGGGATGTCCGTCTCGTCGTCTCACTAAGCCGCCTACGCCCAAAAAGACCCCAAGGTTGAAGCCCCCTGGCTCTGCCTTCAGCCCTCTTGGTCCTGAATGTCAGTTCTTGTCGCCAAAGCTCCTCCCTAAGCACCCCCGATGTCACTGGCCTCCCCTCATCTGCCTCTGCTCCTGACAGGATGCTCGCTGGTCCTTTTGGAGAGGGTCAGGTGACACAACCAGTTGTCCTTCAAGGGTCAGGCACTTCCCACTACTCTTCCTCCCAGCTAACATCGTACCTGTCTGCTTCCCAGTAAACCCTGTCGCCTTCCCGAGGGCACAAGGCTGCTCTCCCAGGAATGTGAGCCCTGGGGATGACGCCAGCCCCTCATGGGGACTAAGAACCTTCTTGCTGCATCAGACAGCCAGGCCATCGCCCTTTCTTGCTCCAGACCCCTGCCCGCTCTGCTGCTGCCCCCCTGATGGCAGGGGCTGCCCTGTGGCTCTTGCCCTGGTGTGCTGCCAGCACTTTTTGAGGGGGTTCCTCTCAGCTTTTTTTCCAAGCACTTTCCAACCTGCACACTAAAAGCACAGCACCACCAATGCAGGGCAGAGGCTCCGAAAGACACAGCGAAACACCAGCTGACAAGGCCCTTTTGCTGCAGCTCTGACGCTCGTGACCGTCTGCATCTCTGCCTCTCTGAGGGCCCTGAGCTGCAACATCCTCACGCTGCCTTCTCTCGTGCCCATCACGTGCCCCTGCCTGAGGAAAGTCTGATGTGTTCAACCCTGTGGAGGCAGCTCAGGCTCCGTTGATTTACTACGCTGGTGCAGCAGCGACAAGAACGGCTCTGATCCTCCCTGCTGTGACATGCCTGTGACACCAAAATGGATGCACCCAGACTCTGCCCCCTTCTTCTTCCAGTCACTCTGGGAGGTGCTGGTGATGGTGGCCATGTCACCTCCCTGCATATGGAATTGTGCTCCTGATGGCACCGTGCACCACAGACCCCCTCGCCTGGTACACTGTGGCAGCCCTGAGCCTTCCCGAAGCTCCCTGGCCACCCAGGAATGCTTTGGGGCCACAGTCTGAGGATGAGCACTCCCATCCTGCTCCTGAAAAGTCACATGTCACACCAGACCCTATTCCTCTGGCAGGGAGACCTGATTACAGCAAGGCACTGAGCAAGCACACGGAGCATCCCCTGTCCAGACCCGCCGCATCCCTGTGCCTTGTCCCTCCCTTCTCCCTCCATAAGTGAGATGACTTAAGGGCAATGGCCACGCACACGCTGTCTTCCCTGCGCAAACTCCGCTGCTGCCCAATCCTCCTGCTTTGTGTGGCCGCGAGGAAGCTGGGGTGACAGTCCTTAGCACACAAGATGGAAAAAACCAGCCCAAGCCAGAGGCCATGATGGGCCACCACCCCGTCCTCTCTGCGGCTGTGCCCCTCCTCATCCCTGCTCTCAACGGGCTGCCCCGGGACCTGCTACAAAATCTCAATGGATGCTCCCAGCCCCCATCCTGGATGTTCAACATGTACCATGGCTGATGGGCAAACCCCCCTGGCCCGAGGCTGCCCTGGTGCTGGTGGGACACGCTGGGTTACCTGATGGACGGGGATCCGGCACTGACTGGGTGAGTCCGCGTCCTGCGGTCCCTGCGGTGCTCTGCATCTCCACTGGCATCCCGGGAAGGTGGCACCGGCAGTGATCTGGGTCCTCTCCCACGGCCCGGGCATGTTTACTGAGCGGGGATGGCACCATCTTCGGCCAGCGACCCGCACATCCTTCCCCACGTGCCCGCTCCAGAAGTACCCTTGGGTGCAGGAGACACCTTGCCCCGATGCCTTCACTGGTCAGCACTGCCCCACAACAGCCCCCTGCTGCCTCCCCCCGCCCCTTCCTGGGTCTGCCCCAAGTTTCTCCGTCCCTGCAGCAGAAATGCTGCAGAATCCCAGGGCCAGAGGCCACGGCATACCAGAGAGCGGCGGCGACGACAGGACGCCACGACGCACACCGAGGCTGGCGGACCTGGCACCAGGGCTGCCCCCCATCCCATCCTTCTCCTCCCCGGGTCAGGTGGGCTCAGCTCCCCTGTCCTCTGCCAGGACGGCGTTCGACTTTCTCGTGCCATGTAACGTGCCATTGTGAGGAACGTGTTGGCTGTCTGAGGCCGACCCCGCTGGGTGTCAGACCCCTTTGTGACCACTGCTCTCCATGTTTGGATGCCCAGGGGGTGGCCAGGCGCCCAGGGCGGGGGCAGCGTGGCTCCTGGGTCTCTCCTGCTGATGGCCACGACGGCCAGTCTTGAGTTTCTGTCGATCATTGTATTCCAAGGGTGGCTATACTACCTGAGATTTGTGCATGTTACATTGTAGTTGTAACCTTTTCTAATTCGGCAAGAATAAGAGATGGTTGTGATTGTGCAGTGTATCAATAAAGTTTGACGAACTTTGTACCTTCGGGGCTTTGCTTCACGGACCCCGCACACCCCAGGGAGGGTCGTGGTGCTTGGCACCCGGTGTGCTGAGCCATGAGGGCTCTCAAGTGGGTCCTGTAGTCTCACCCAGCACTTGGTTGGACCCTCTTTTGATCATCCCCTGTGATGGTGACACTTGGAGCCCCACAACTGGGGGCCCGCTGCTGTTTGGGCCATCCCTCACCCCATCCATGCATCTCCCCAGGGAATCCACGAGTGGGTCCCTGGTCCCACCCACCTCCATCCTCCGTCTGCCGATGAGCACATACCTGCTGACAGAGCCCTGCAGGGTAAGGACTGTCTTTGCTCTCATCACTCACCTACGTTCAGCAGAAACAGAGTGGTCAGGGGCCTCTTTTCCATGCCTGAGCCATTCCCAGCATCTTCTCCATCGTCTTGTATCAACGCTTGTTGACAGCTAAACCCCCCCACCCGTGAAGGGACACCTTTGTGGATGATGCACTTGCAAGGGTGGTTTGCTCCTGTCATGATCTGACAGCGCGTGACACAGACCAGATGCCTTCATCAAAGGACAAAGATGGCAAGGACCAGGACCAGAAGGAGCTGTGACCCTCAGCATCTTCCTGACATGGCTGTAGTCTCATCCTAAAACCACAGGGCTGGGGAGGCAGGCTGTGCTCCCTGCACCCAGGAGATTCTGTTCCACCCCATCAACTTTCCCCACCTTTCCACCACATCAGCTGGGAAAAAACATTCAATCGGCTCCTCTAATATGAGACCTGCTGCCAGGAGACTGGAGGCTGTGGGACTGTGCCAGACCTTTCAGGGTCTCACACGCTTTGAGACCTCCCTTCACCTGCCTCGACATGAGAATGAAAAGCCCAGTCCTGAAAGTTTATCCCCGAACCCCACAAGAAGCTGCCCTGCTGAGCAAACAGCTCCATCCCAGCACCATGAGTACTGCAGCCTCACACATCAGGGACACCTCTGCTGGCCCCCTCAAGTGACCCCTGCAGAAAGGTAAGTGCTTCCCAAAACCCA